ACTTTTGAATTACATAATTTTACTCTGTATGATTGTATCATATCACTGTATGCACACAGTCCTGTATTACACGATAAAACTTTCTATAAGCTCTAATACAAAGCCCTGTAGAGGTTACACGAAACTTTCTTTGTTGAAACCATACAAAGCATAATTTTTTACAAAAATATACTAATTTTTTTTTTGTGTAGCACTTTATATTAAATATTATTTTAGAGTTATTTTTAAATTTTTTTGAAATATTGTTAATTTTTCTTTCGTTTTTAGAGAATATTAAATACTATAATTAAAAACTTAAATAACATTTTTTGTATGTTTTCTTAGAGATTCATTTTAGCTTAAGAAAAATTCAGTTTAAATTTTTTTTTGTTTCAGCCTAAGAAAAGTTCATTGTAAAAAAAAAAAGTTAATTTTAGCCTAGGAAAAATTCTTTAACCTAAGAAAAGTTCTTTAACCTTCTTTTTTAACCTAACCTTTTAATCTTCTTTAATCTAAGAAAAGCTCATTTTAGCCTAAGAAAAGTTCGTTATAAAAGTTAATTTTAAAATATTTTTTGTCAATTTCTTAAACAGAAAGAATACAGTACACGGTACACAGTGACATAACTCATTTTGGAGTTAATATATAGTTTAAACACTAGGGGAATAAAACCTCCACTTTGGTGCGATAAAGAAGATCGCGATTTCTGAAAATGTGTCAAAATAAATTTACTCGGTTTTATTATTTGGATCCGTTTGCAAAAATCGAAGAAAATAGAGTTTTGAGAAAATGTAAAATCCATAAGAGTTAAAGAGGCAATTTCTAATCACTGGTCATTTCGAAACTATGAACTTTGAAGTACGAGCGACTTTTCGTTTGCGTTATATTTGGAGCAAAGCGAAATATCAAAAAGTATCAGAATATATCATAGATTATGATTGGGACAAAAACTTTATAATCACTCAGCAAACTTTAACTACCAACTACTTGTAAATAAATATATGGAAGCTGTGTGCAAATACAATCCAGTGACTTCTGTTCCATTCAAAAGAAAAAAAAAGAACCTTGGACCATAAACGCAATTTTTCATAAACGTAATCTCTGGAGGCAATATGTTGCTTCTGGAACTAAAACACACGAGGCACTCAGGAGTAAGCATAAAATAGCCTGTAAACATGTTTCAAAGTTAATAAAAGAAGCTATTCAAAGATACAAACATCCGTTAGCTAGTGTTTTCAAAAAGAAACCAAAGAAACTTTATGATCACATAAAACAAAAACAAGGAACTAATAATTTACTTCAAGCTCTCGAAGATGACAATAAAAGCATTGTAACCGATTGTACAGTAGTCTCAGGTATTCTAAACGATTACTTTCATTCTGTATTCACTACTAAAAAACCAGATTCACTGCCAGTTTTTGAATCACGTACAAACGTATCTTGCACAAGAGACCTAAATCTTCTATCAGCGACTTCAGTCTAAGAAAGACTAAAAAAACTCATTGAAACCAAGTCGAAAGGATATGACAATATATACCCACGAGTATTACGCAACTGTGCTTCAGCATTCGCAATTCCATTAACTACAATCTACCAAAAAATAATTTGCGATTCACCGGTTCCAGAGGTTTGGAAAAGATCAAATGTCACCCCATTTTTAAACAAGGCAACAAGCAGAACCGATCCAATTATAGACCAGTCTCATTAACATCGGTAAACTAAAAGGTGTTATACACGAAAAAATCATAAACCACTGTCTTAGCACTAACCTAATATCCAAAGAACAGCACGGATTTCATCATAGTAAAGGATGCACATCGAACTTACTTGAGACGAGAGATATACTGACGGAAGCAAAACATCAAGGCTACGCCGCTGATATCATCTTCACCGACTTTTTGAAAGCCTTTGATAAAGTTCCACACGTCAGACTTTTACACAAACTTAAAGCATACGGTATAAACGGTTTGGTCTTAGACTGGATAGAAAACTGGCAAACGAACCGCTATCAACTAGTTGTAATCGGCATGCACAAATCTAAATGGAAATATGTAACAAGCGGGGTACCCCAGGACTCTGTTCTCGGTTCACTTCTTTTATATTATATATAAACGATCTTCCTGACTATATTAGTCATCATATAAAGATTTATGCCGACAATTGCAAAATAATTGCAGCTCTAAAATCTGAAGAGGACTATTTTGCAAATTGACTTGGAAATAACTTATTAGATTGGTCGCATAAATGGAATATATCTCTCAACTTCGATAAATGTAAAATTATGCAAGTTGTGTGTGGTAACTCCAAATCTGTTCAAAATTATTCAACGCTTGACTTGAGTGGAAACACAATTCAACTGGACGTCACTAAGCACAAACATGATCTGGGAGTAATTCTGTCAGACAATCTTAAAGTATGCTCTCAAGTCGAATCAGCAGCAGTAGGAGCCAGTAAACTTAGTAGACTAAAGAAAATGTTTAGAAGTCGTGGACTCTTTTTGTGGAAAGTACTCTACAAAACCTATGTTAGACCTCAATTAGAATTTTCTATCCAGGCTTGGTCACCACACAAAGAAAAAAACAATACTATTCTAGAGCAAGTGCAGCATAAAGCCACAAAAACAATAACGGAAATGAAGCTCTTGCAATATAAAGATAGACTTCTTCATCTCGACTTAACCACACTTAAAAAAAGGAGAATTTAAAGTGATCTCATTCAACAATTTAAATTTTCAAAAGGAATTGACCAAATCATTTTTGAGAACCCTTAAGTCTACACACCATCTTTGAGTCAAAATTAAATCAAATGAAATTTTGCAATTTTTACTAAATTTAACTTAAAGCTAAATTTATATTTAAAATTCGGCACCAAAGTCGAAGCCAAAGTCAACTCTTTCAGTAAACTCTATCGTAGCTTTTGCGCTCAAACTAATTTAAATTGACAAAAAAATGACTACTTAGTATTTTTTTTTTTTTTTGTGAGTTGTGAATTATACTTTTTATGAATTTTAGTTTACCACTTCATTCATAATTAAATAATTGCGGGAATTATACCCTGTGACGTCAATATTTACCGGAAACCAACACACCTAAGTTTTTATTTATTTATTTATTTCAGTTCATTTTCTAAAGGCCATAAAGGCCAATACAGTCAAAGAGGCTACTTTAGTTGTAATTACAACCCTCTCCCAACTCTATAACTCCGAAACACAAATATTAACAAACAAGACCGCTGCATGGAGGAACAGGTTGAGCGTGGTACTACGAGGGACGTGGTGGGAATCGAACTCGGAACTTCCCGCTTATGAGGCGAGGGCTGTACCAATACACCACTTTCGCAATTTTTTATTTCATGGGGCCTTAGTTTTCCGTTTCGATAGTCTAAGTTTTTTTTTAATTTGTATTGCATAGGGTAACAAATTTGGTACTAAATGAAAACATCACCATACAAAATCTTCATAAAAACTATAAAAAATTTTCGAAAATTTGCCGACTGCCATGACGACATTTGCCGACTATCTGTCAAGATTACCGACTAACCTATATCGAAAGAGTCAACATTAGCCGACTAACTAGTCAAAAAAGGTCAAAAATGCCGACTAAGGGTCAAACTTGCCGACTAAAATTCATTGATGGGGGGGGGGGGTTATCACACCCCCTTATAGCGCCGGCCTTGATTGGAATCGTCTTGGTTTTATATATAAATACTGACTTAAAGACCTTGTTTTAATGGTCAATAACTTAACAAGTATATGCTGAGTATCTATATGCTGAGTACAAAATCAACCTTGAAAAGTTGTAGTATGTCTAATACTGTAAGAAACTGATCGGAAAAGATAAACGCGGAGGGTTAAAGTTAAATGGAATTAGACATCTGACATAAAGGGCATTGGCATTATATTTGTAACTATTTTGGAAAGGTTAATCGCTTAACTTAACTACTAGAATTACAAACTTCATGATTCATAAAAGATTTAATAGATGAAAAAAATATCAGAGTAGTGTTGTTTTAATGCAACTAATTAAACACTTAATTGTCGCCAATATAATCCAATATGTCGCCACTTAATCTTAATAAGTTGCCATATTTTTATTTTTTTGTAGGGGTCCTGAAAGTTAACGCAAGTAAAAAATTTGAAGGTAGCGACAACGGCAACTTAAAAATCAATTTATCTAAGTGAGTCCTTGATAGTAGTTTTATCAGTTTAAGTTGATAGAAATTTCAATAATTTCAACTGTACAGATTTTAATAATAAAAACTTTTAGTTTTAATTGTGTTTGCGAGCGTTTTAATGCAGCACATTGCATCCGCTTTTGAAAACGCATTTAAACGCCTATTATATATTTCGAGAAAAACGATATATAAAAAAAATTTATTAAGAGAAACTCTTTGTAAAAAATTTTTTGAAATTAATAATTTTTATGAATTTTTTCATAATTCTTCCAAAATACTTGGGTTTTGAAGTAGGGGGTTTTGAAGTAGCACAATCATCAATTTGTGAAAAAAGTTCTCCATATCAAGATTTTCTTAACAAAAAAAAAAAAAAAAAAAAAAAAAGCCACCCTGGCCCTCTCAGTGTCGTCGGCCTTGTTAATTAGCTTACTTTGTTAAAAACTCAACATTTTTTTTTACCTTAGGGTATTTTAATAAAATACTTTTTAACATTTAGATTTAGACTCAACTAAAATCAGGTCTTTAGGTGCTGAATTTAAACTCTTTTTACTTATTGTTTATAATTTTTTCATAAAACTTTGTGCCGTCTAGTAACAAAACTTAGTTATTGGAACTATTTACTTTATTATGGAAAAAAAAGTATTAAAAAGAAGTTGGTAAACCACTTTAAGGTATAATTGTCTTAATAATGTTAAAATAGTAGACGTAATAAGACTTAATTGGGAATAATTGGAAAAAAAATTCTGAAAAAAAAAAAAATTCACTACGAAGGAATCCTAATGAAAATTCATTAGGATTCCTTCGTAGTGTGTATATGGGTTTTTCAGAAACCGCAAGATTATCAAATATTTTTCAATAATGGCTAAAAATTATTTTTTTAATTAGAAATTTTCTGCGTCTATACAAATTTAAAAAATACCAAAAAATATTGGTTAATAGAAAAAACTCCTCTACTGATTCTATACAAGTATGGTATTTGATAAATATATAAAATACATAGTAAAAAATAGTTGACTGAATAATTTCTTGAAAAAAACTCTATGAAAAACAGAAATTTTTTAAAATAAAAAAAAAGTAAGTGTAAAAACAAATTTATAAGATAATAATTAGTTATGGAGATTTATAGCATCCATTCTTTCCCTTACCAGAAAGGATCAACAACCTTTTCTAATCAAAACAATTCTGGGTAAGTCACTGGAAAAGCATAAAATCAATAGAAAAGTATTATATACTAGAATATATACTTCAGCCAGATAAAACATGCGTGAAGCTGTTGTACTCAATTTACGCATTTCATCCACGCGCCAGAAATGGCTTTTGGGTAATACTTTTCTATCTCTACCTTGTCAGTCATGCGGTAAAAACCGGTTCCTATTTATTGAAGAAAAAAAAAAATTAAATTTTAAAACTTATTTACAAATTTTGATCAAAAAAAAGTTTATTAATTTTTGAGTTTTTTCAAAACCCTTTTTAATATGATCCTTCCCCCTACATTCCTTCTTCCTCCCTTCACTTCTGTAAGTCTTACTGTAGTGTGACCAACTTACAAGTCTTATGGTAGTGTGATCACATTACATGAAAACTTATGGCATCACAGAGTGAAGTTATAAATGCCATTAAATATTAGAGCAACTCTAACATACAAAACTTGTTCTGATACTAGAGTAACTCTAATATACAAAGCTGGTTTTGATAACTCAAACAGACAGAAAATCTACTTAAAAACGAAACATTTAGCGATGATGGATGTAGGAATCTAAAGAGTGAGTCTCTGTTTATTACATTCCTAATGCTTTTATAGCTATCATTAATCTTAAATGATAAGAAGATTATTCTCTGAATACAAGCAATCAACCATTTTGTTTTCTCGGCCTTGGCAATATAAACTTTATTGAAATTTTAGACAATCATTGTGGAAAGGAGCTAAAATTAAAAAAAAAATTGATCAGCTAACTCAAACAAGCTGTCCAACTTAATTACGTATATATTGATGTTGACCATATAATTGAAAATACTACAATTGATGGCAAGGTCCATTGTCAGATGTAACTGACTCATATAATTATATGGCTGCAATCCTAAATTGACAAATGATATTAATAAGGCATATAGCAAATATTTTGTACACATTTACATGTGTACAAAATTATGTGTGTATGTATGTATGTATGTATGTATGTATGTATGTATGTATGTATGTATGTATGTATGTATGTATGTATGTATGTATGTATGTATGTATGTATTTATGTAATATTCATTCACTAAACACTGGTGCTTGGTTACATATTTATTCCCTGAACATTGGTGTTTAGCTACATATTTATTCCCAAACATTGGTGCTTAGGAATTCTTCTGAAAATGTTTTTCTGACTTATGTTAAAGATTTCTGCCAATTTTTTTCAAAAAAAACTCACTTCTTTGCTTTCCAAACTTAAATAGTGTTTGGTTGCAGCCTGGTTGGAAGTGAATTCTTTAATTTTGGTTTTGATTAAATATTGTTAACTACAAATAATTTATTTAATTGTTAAGAATAAAAAATTAAATTTTAGGTTAAATTTTAAATTTAATCTATTTTAAAATGGCAAAATTAAAGACTGTGTAACAGCATAAGACAATTCAATATAAAAAACTAGGTATACTTAAAAAAAAGATCAATAAACACAAGTATTAAAAGTAGCTTAATGAGTCATCTTTTTTAACGAGTGACAATAAAATATGGTAAACCATTTAACTAGTAAAGGCACAAGTTAAATGATTGCTAGTGAAGTCAATGATGATGATCATGATATTAAAAACATTTAAGTTAACTAAAAACAAGATTTTTGCGTATTTTTGGTTAACAACTTTTATGATTAAATATAAAAAAATATTCAGAAACTTACCCCTGAAAAAATAGGTTACTCCATTCTTCCAAGCAAAAACAGCATCAACTGGTGATGGTACATTGCCCCAAAATTTACTAATTTCTCGAGGATAGTCATAATAAACAATGTTTGAGTAGTCGCTGAACCGATAAAATAGATCTCCAGAAAATAAGTACGTTTTTCCATTACCTGGCCATATAAAAGCAGCATCAATTTTTTTTGTGTCAGTCCTTAGGCCAATAAATTTATCAAAAATTGAGCCTTTTTCAAGAAGAACCAGTTCTGACAAATTTGAGTAAATGTAATAACTAAGAAAATATACAAAAAATATACAAATATATATGCAAAATTACATACACATAAATATATAAATATGTATTAGGTAGCCTAAAAAAATCTTTTTTTTTAAATTTGATGTGGGCCCCTGGACCTACTTTGTATGCTCTTTAGAGCCCTATTTTTAATGACGAATTTCTGAAATGTATTAAAATAAACTAGTCAGTGTTACATACACCAGTTTTACTTATTAGAATGAAAAAAATTATAATTATGTATATGGCAGACCCATTCCCAGACCTAGTCTAGACACGCTGCAACATGAACCGCTTTTTAAGCCCTTTTGAAACCTGTTTTTGACTAAATTGGCATATTTTTGAAAAGTATTAAAACCAACTAATGTCAGTGTTACATGCATCAGCTTTATATATTAGGCTAAAGACAAGTATATGAATGCATATAGACAGCCTCAGAATTAAAATCAGCATTCGACAATGTCAACCTAATTGCTAACCTAAAAGTGTTTGAGGTCTGCAAAAAATCATTGACCTTGTTTCTATGTTTTATGGTAACCCCTTTGTGTCAAATTTTGTTTGCCAACATTATGCTGACCTCTAATAATTTAAGGACAGCTTTTTTTCCTTATTCTAAAAGCTGATATAGAGGTAACATGGGGTGGTGGTGGTGGTGGGGAGTGTAGGAGGAAGAAAAGGAGGGGTGTAAAAAAAAGCTATTTAAAACTTTAAAAAAAGCTGGTTACTTTTAAACATTTTAAATTTTTGAACTGTTGTTTTTGAGATTCGGTAAACTGCCTCTTTGTAACTTCAGTTAAAAAATATTTCCTATGGTACTCAATTATTTGGTAAAAAAGCTGATGTTGACTCTTTTTTTGTTAAAACTAAAAACGTCACAGTTAGTGACCAATTTAACAGCTAGATCTTCACTTAAATACTATAACTAAAGTTTAATTTTATTTTTTTGCAACATTTGCAACTTTGCTGTCAACATGACAATATTTCTCAATTAACTTTAAAAGAAGGAAAACATTTTTTAGTGCTTCTTCTATTGTAAGAGGAGCTGAAAACCAGAAACATACGTATAAAATACGTATAAAATACGTATATTGTGGTTATGAAAAGAAATAATCTTTTTAATACTCCAATTTCTTTCTCTGTGACATTTAACTGATAAAAAAAACCAAAAATTTTTAAACAGTATATACTTTTAGCCATCCATCTTGCACAATGGTAAGACCCAGGAATGCAAATAGTTGTTGTACCATCATTTGCTCCCGAAAGGAGAAGTGCTAGCTTTCTGAAATCTTTAGAATCATTGCTAGGTTGAGTTCCTTTCAAGTATTCTTTTAGTTTCATCACCAGATAGAATTTTCGAGATGCAAACCTTTTTCAAGCTTTGTACCCTGTTTCGCTTTTATCACTTTCAAGTAGTTCAAATTGTGATTTTACTAATTAATTTGTTATTAGCTCCCACTGAGACTCCAGTCTACCAAAAAGTTCAATATTGAGTCTTTTTGATACAAAAAAAGCATCAAACACTACATTTGGGCAGATTTCAAAAATATGATGCTGGCAGGCTCAAAACAGAACACTTCAAATCATTGATTTTTGTATGACAGTTTTTGCCTCATTATAACTTCCTGTATTACTTGCAGTTGTGCCAGAGCAAAAACCTGCAAGATGCTCCTCAACCCCAGGCCACTCATGAATAAACTCTACTACTTTCCATTCCATCAAAGCACTAGTACCAACAGGTATCTCAGGGATAATTAATAATTTCTAATGTCTAGGCCAGTTATAACATTTGGCAGACATGTATGTTTGGTTCCATCAAAAATTGGCAATATTTTGCTATCAAAATGAGCAACTAGTAGATCTAAGGGTTGTAAATCTTTTCTTACTGCTATTGTAAGAGATTCATGGGAAGTAGTTCAAGCTACTATTAAAAAGGTACAAGAAAATGTTAACTTTTTTACATCATTACCAACTGCACCTAGGGCTTGTGTGAATACCATTATCGCTTGTTTTTGTTTGGTTTAATGCTACATTAAAGAGTTGATTGTCAAGAATACATTTGAATACATTTGGATACCATAGTTGATAGCTGACTAGTGCTTAAAGTAGAATGTTGTGAAAAGTTTGGACAAGTGAAGGCTAATTGTATTTAAATTGTAATGTCACAGTCAGAATTTTTATCAAAAGAGTAATCTGAATTGTAATTCGTTAATGTTTTTTTAAAAACATAACTTTCTTTATGTCATTCCTGGTGCCTCTTTTCTTCATACTTGTGTGTTTGCAATGTTTTGAGATTTGCATGGGCAATGTCATCTTGGCGGTGAATTTTTTTTCATAATTATGTTCAGCAGCACATTTTTTACTTTTGTGCTTAGATACTTTAACATGCTATTGGTGAATACCCTTTAATTCAGCTAGAACATGAAGCTTTGCTATGGTTGGAGTATTAGCCATGAACCAGAAAATCATAAATTCATCTACAACTGTGCTGCAGGATATAGAAATAAAAAACTCATAGAACAACACCAGTTTATGACTTTAAACACTTTATATTTATTAAATATAAATTTATTTTAGTAAAAAAGTATAAAAATATAACTTAAGAAGATGGCTGCTTTAGACTTATCATATGCTTGTAAAGCAACATGCTCAATATATGAATGTTTGGCTTCAAAGCATGTAAAGCATATCTATGAATGAATAAAGCATATCTATGAATGAATAAAGCATATCTATGAATAAATAAACCATATCTATGAATGAATAAAGCATATCTATGAATATATGAATGCTTGATTTCATATGCTTGTTAAGCAACACGCTTAATCTATGAATGTTTGGCTTGTTGAACATAATCTCTCAACAATAGATGGTTGTCAATAAAATAATAATAAAATCTTATATGATACAAAACCATTGTGTCATTTATACGATGGTTTTGTATCAAATTGATGACAAACTATGCCATCACTGTTATTAAATTTATTAAATATTAATTTCTGAGGTGAATTTAATTAGAAAAGTTTGCAACAAATTATTGCAATTAAAATACTTTTCAATAATGTAATCAAAATATTGAAAAAGATTTTGGTAAATAATCAGGAGGGGGTAAATCTAAACTCGCCTAAACTTTCCCTCCTCTCTGAACTATCTCTGTTGTAACATTTCAATACATGACATTATTTGTTTTTAGATGTAATATTAAAATATTTATAGCAGGATTTCGTATGAAATAAATATAGAATTCCAAGAGTAGGTTTCTAGACAAACTTTGATTAACATAATGTTCCAAAATAGTGCTTGGGAATACCTCCTATTGTTTGCAAAAAAATTTTGCCTATATAGATTTCTTATCGAACTTTAGGGTTAAATAAAATGTGCAAAATAAAAAGTTGAGAAAAAATTTGTTTAATATGACACATATCTAATTTATCACGTATTTAATATATCACATATATAATATATCACATATTTAATAAAACATACTTAACATAACACACGTAATATTCTTATATAGTCAGAGACTGCATACAATCATATTTAATGAAATATAAATTTATATCGAAGTCACAACATGGTTTTGTTAAAGGGAAGTCCTGTACAACAAACTTATTAGAGGTGTTGGATTATATTTCATTTAATTTATTGATTGGTATTTCGGTAGATGAAGCACTTTTAGATTTTGTTAAAGCTTTTGATTCTGTTGCTCACAAAAGACTATTAATTAATCTCCATATGGAATTAGTGGTTTATTATTAAAATTAATTGAAGCTTTTTTTAAAAAACAGAATTCAAAGAGTTATCCAAAGTGATAATGTTTCTTCATGGCGCGAAATGAAAACAAATTTAACTTATATTTATTTATATTAATTTAAGTTATATTCAGTGGTGTTCCGCAAGGATCCGTAATAGAGCCCTTACTATTTGTTATTTTTATTAATGATATATCAAATATATTTAAAAATAAGTCAGAATTTTATGCAGATGATACAAAAATTCTTTCAAAAGTGAATGAAATAAATGTTGAAAACAGCTTGCAAAAAGATCTGGATAGTGCAGAGAAATGGTCTAAAAAGTGGCTCTTGGGTTTTAATTCTAGTAAATGTGTTATAATGCATTATGGTATAAATAATCCGCAATTGAAATATACTTTAAATGGTATTGAACTAAAAGATTCGAATGCAAGAGAGATTTAGGTGTATATTTTTCAACAAACTTGAAATGGAAAAAACAAATTATGTCTAGTACTTCTAAAGCAAACTCAATAATGGGTATGTTAAAGATGACATTTTCACAAATTGATGCAAAATTGGTTAAAAAATTGTATAAGGTATTTATTAGACCTTTTATTGAGTTTACAGTACCTGTTTGGTCACCTTATTTTATAGGAGACATATCACTTTTGGAAAAAGTTCAACACAGGATGACTAGATTAGTTCCATCATTAAGAAAAATTAATTATGAAAAGAGACTGGAAATATTAGATATATCTACATTGAAAACAAGGAGGGAACGTGGGGATTAATACAAGTGTTTAAATTACTAAACAGATTCGAGGAAATTGATTTAATTAATGAACCGAAGCTTAAAATTGATTCAATTACTCGAGGTCACAATCTTAAATATGAAAGAGAAATTGTAAACTATTTACCTCGGCATCATTTTTTATTGAATCGTACAGCCAATTTATGGAACGCTTTACCGGAAACTGTTGTTTCTTTAAAAACTGTCAATCAATTTAAGAATAGATTAGATAAGTATAATGCCAAATCACAGAAATTTTAACTAAACATTTTTTAATATATATTTGGATTAATGCTCTCAAAGTGTGATAAACCGCACTCGCTGGATTCGTCCAGTTACAGTTTAACTATTAACTAACTAATATAACACAGATAATTTTACACTAAGTTGAGTTTTATTGCTGATATGAATGATGATATAAACTAATATGCAAAATTAAACTTTTTACTAAACAAATTTTTCAAGGTTTTCTGTTTCTTTAGTTAGTGTATCTCTAGCTATTGAAAATAGCCTTTCCATATCTGTAGATCTTTGTGAAAAGGTGAGAAACCTCTTTTAGAAAGAGCTAGTTTTACTTCTCTACTTGATCTGTTTTTATAGTTCTTTCAGAAGTCAAAACAGTAAAAAGATATCTGAGAACTCAGATGATCACTCAGCACTTCTTTCAGTCTAGAACATGACTTCGTTATAGTTGCAATAATAAGGATAGAAGCACTGATGTATAAACTACTTCCAGGTAAAAGTTTAGTAGTTTTTTCAAAAAAGCAAAAAAAATATTGATCACTTTTTCACAAATATTTCAGTCTTTTTATGAAACCTCAATGCCTGAGGATGGCAACATAAGAATTGTGGGGGATTGTTTGTAGAGCTCTTCAACCTATTTAATAGGAAAACATATGTGAAAAGGTTTTGCATTTTAAACCCAGAGCTTTAACTGAACCTTTTTTCAACCATTTAGTTTCAACTGGTTATTGAAAAAAGTACTTTTTTCAATAACCAGTTGAAACTAAATGGTTGAGAAACCCAGCTGATTCATTGATACCACCTAGTTTATTAAGGCTTCTTTATTATTAGCACCATTGTCTCGCATACAAACATCAATTTTAAAAAAATGTTTAATGATGTGCAACAATTGTCATACTTGGAGCATGACAAGCAGAACCTCATTTGTTTCCAACCATTTGAAATAAATTAAATTTTTATCCCTGAATAATTGTGGTGAGTTGAGTTCAACAAAACATCAAGGCCACAACGGACACAACTTATTCTTCTGCTAAACAGACTTTTAAGTAGTATTTATCTTATTGGATGTTAAACATGGTTTTGTTATATTTATCACTTGCAATATAATAAATTGAAACAGTCAAAGCATGGTTTGATATCAAGATGGGCTATTGTCCTTTTTCTATGTTGGATTCAGTTTTTGTGCTGGTTTTAATCTAGATGAATGTAATAAACTGAATTTCTACGCCTAGCTTGTTTATGCTTGATGTTGAAAAAAGGAATTGTTAAATTTTTTGTTTTGTTTTGAAATTTTAAATCACTTTTTTCTGTAACATTTTATTTAGCATTGCAGCAGCAGGGATAGTTTTGATATTAAGAAAAAATATAGAAAAATAAGTAAAAGCTTTTATCCATGAAATATTATCCAAGTTCACTTTTTATATTACTATTAAATTTGTAAACTGTATAACTAAGTTAAATTTGTTTTCAGATGTGCGAGATTCATAATATCATGTGGATTCCAATGGTTTGGTTATTTTCAGTTTTTATATTTTTAAGACGCCCATCCTCACAAACTAAAAAATTAAAGATTTAGTGAATGTGCATAAAATTTAATTTAGAAATGGTAAAATATTTTGTAGAAACTGCCGAAATTCTAAATTAAATAAAAATTTAAAATCATACAATTGAAATTTTGGTATGAATGAACTTGCACTATAATATTAGGCAAAAATAAATTCAAAACAAAAAAGATATTTATAAATTATTAACACCTTGTTCCTTTGAAAAAAACAATTTCGGATTTGCTATTAACATAGGCTGAATCAATACTTTTAACATCAGGTAAAATTTTTTCAACATTAAATGGACCATCAACATTTTGTAAGTTCGCATCAATTTTATATAAATTTTTTCCATTGAAAACAAATGTGATTCCAGTCACTTTATCAAACACAGCACCTTTCATTGAACAAGTAGGTAGTAAATCTTTGCCACTGCTTGTTGCAACTGGCAATACTGTAGTAGTTACTTGATCTGTAATGTGTTTCTGCTTTTTGGAACCTAAAGTAAAATATTGGGATAAAATTTTTACTACTTTATATAAAACTAGTGAATAATGAATTATAGAACTAATATTTCATAATGGCCATTGCAGACCACACTTTAAAAAAAAAATTGTTATGATAATGTTTAAAACTTTTATACATCAATTAAAATATAAGTAAAATCTTTAACAATTATATTTAATTTAATAAAATTAAAGTTTCAACAATAGGGTGTGTTTTTCCTTTTTTTTCTACAATAGGGTGTGTTTTTCCTTTATTTTTTCCTTTTTTTTTTTCAAATCATAAGTGAGTAGTTTTTATTTATGGGAAATAGTTTTAAAAATTTTTAAGCTTGGTAATCTTGGAAAAGTTAATTGCCTGCTAATATGACCAAAAACTTTTTTTTTTAAATAAAGTCAACTTGGGTATCAAAAGAAGAGTAAATAAAAAAAATAAGAATTTTAAAAATTTATTTTTTCTTAATTTTCAGAGATTTTAGAATTTTTTTCAGGAAACACATCTTCTTAAAAAATGTTCCTGGTATTTATTTTGGTAGTTTTCTTTTTTGTTTGTTTTTTCAATAAAATCTGAAAATCTTTTTTTTTCTTCATATTTTTTTATTTCATAAAATAAAAATGCATAATTAAAATAACAATATTTATATTTACTTAAATGTAAAATTTTTATATATATATATAAATTAAAAAACATCTAATTAGAAATTTATGTATTTTTTGTTTATAAAATTTAAATATTTGACTTATAAAATGTTTTAAGCAATTTGTGTTGAAAAAGAATTATAAGAAAGATAATTTAAAGTTTAAGAAAATAAATAATAAAGCATCAAACAAAATACCAGAAAAAGATAAAATCTGTTAT